CACAGCCGACTTACTGGCACTGGGGCACAGGCTCGTTGGGATCGAAACCAGCCTGAACCGGTGTGTGATAGCTTCGGGGGGCTGGGGGGGGAGGGGAGGGAGGGGGGGGAGGGGTTGGGGGGAGAGGTTGGGTTTAGCAGCTTTACCGGTGCAGGATGCTCAAAGAAGCCGCCTCGTCGGAACCGTAAAGGGCCCAGTCCGGCGTTGGGGCCCAGTAGTCGGAAGCCTCGAAGTCAGCGCCTCGAGCAGGATGGGTTTAGGGATTTTACGCTTTAGGGTTTAGGGCTTCAGGGAACTAAACAATGGTTACCAAAATCAGGGTATCTCTTTAAACGGGATTATGCCAATATTTGGGGTGTTTATAGTGAGCCGGCGGGTTCCTAGGACCCCCACCCCCCCCTCCCCCTGTGGTGTGGTTGTGGAGTAGTTTTAGAGTTTACGGTTTTAGGGTTCAGGGTTTTGGTCTTCGGGCTTGTAGGATTTCGAGGTTTAGGGCTTGGGGTTTAAGGTGGGGAGGGGAGACCGCATACCATGAAGAGGAGGGGGCCATGGCGGGGGGCGGGGGGGGGGGGGGGGGGGGAGGGAGGGCCGCGAACGCACCGCGAACGCACCCTAAACCCTAAACCCTAAACCCTAAACCCTAAACCCTAAACCCTAAACCCTATCCGCCCACAACAATGTATGAGGGGTACAACTACTTTGGGATGGCCCTTCCCACCTGCTTGGACAAGCTCGTGGAAGCGGTCATAGTTGATCCACGTGTGCCAGCGTCCATCGACCTGCAGGTTTGCCTTAAGAACCCAAAAAAGCTATTTGTTTGCAGGTTGCGATTATGGCGTTTCTTGAAGGATACCTTTGGAACGCACGAAATCAAGTTGTGGGTCTTTAAGACAGGGCTTTTGAAGGAAGAGAAAAGACAAAGTGGACTTTTGTCTCGACCAGAGTTTCAAGTCATACCCAAAAGGTCCTGTTGTAGAGCCGTTGTGGAACTTGGCATCGGTGGGGGGCTCCATAAGAGTCTTACATCCGGACCCTTAACATGTAAACCTATAACCTCGAGGACCGAGGACACGATTGTACTCGCGGAGGAATGAGCCTTGTAGCGCTTGTTGGCGAGAAGCACCTGGACGACCGCAGCTTGAAGGCTATAGGTTGTAGGTTCTAAAGATTGGTCAATCCCCCAGACCCCCCCCCCCCCCCGCGGTTTCCGCAAAAGACGAAACCCCTGTATCTAAGGGTAGTTGCATGGTCCCTCGCAATATGGGCCCTTAAATGGGGACCCCTTATATACCCTAAACCCTAAACACCATAACTCCTCAGATACCCTAAACCCTAAACCCTCAACCCTAAACAACATAACTCTTCAGGAGACCGCAGACCTTCATCCCCTAAACCGAGAATACCCTCAATCCCAAAGCGGGTCTTTTTCTGGATGGGTTCCATTGCATTTGGGGCATACAAAAGAGGTATCCCTATTTGGGGAATAGCCCGTTCAGGGCACCGAATGTTCCCCAGACCCTAATCCCCAAAACTCCAGCGCCCACAAACCCCAACACCCAAAACCCCAAAAACCTAAAAAAACCGAAATCCCGAAGTCCCTGCACGCAAAAACCTTAAATGCACTGAATCCCTCAAACCCCAAACCCCAAGCCCACACAAAATGCGGACACACAACCCAAAACCCTCGAACCCTAGATGCCTCAAACCCTAAAACCCTAAACCCCAAATCCCTCAGACCCTAAATCCCTAAACCCGCAAAAAAATGAACCCTAAACCCCTAAACCCTAAAGCCCTCGAACCCCAACCCCCCCCCCCCCCCCCCCAAGCGAGCCGGTCTCTCAATGCAGCTGTGCTGGTGTTCGCAGGCAAGCTCGTACTGCGACTCGAGGCCTTCCTGGTTCGGGCTTTAGGGTTTTAGGCTTTTGGAGGTTATGGGGTTTTAGGGTTACAGGGTTCTAGGGTTCTAGCGTTATTGGGTTTTCGGGTTCAGTTTTAGGGTAAGTTATAGGGTCTTGGGGGTATAGGGTCATAGGCTAGGGCTCTGAGGTTTACAGGGTTGTAGGGTTTCAGCGCTATAGGGTTTAGGGTCTGTGTTTGTGTGTGTGTGTGTCTGTGTCAGGATTTCGGGTTTGAGGGTGTTCAGAGTCTTCTGCTTTTGCTTGGGGGCGGCTGGGGTGGGGTCAGGGAGTTTAGGGCTCAGGGTTTAGCGGGTGCAGGGCCGCGGCCCCGCAGTCAGTTCCCGCTGGGCGGCTGATGCTTTTCTACAACTTTAACTGCCGCGCTTTACAACATTCAAGCTGCCAGGGTGCTGCTTCACGCTGTTATTACACACATAGACTGCAGTAAACCCCTAAACCCTAAACCCTAAACCCCAAACCCTAAACACTAAACTAAGCATGTGGATACCTGTGATCTGCACTGGTCCTTCGAGAGCAGGGCTTCAGAGAAGGCCTTGACCTCAGCGTTCTCATTCCAGCTCATGGAAGGATTCGAAGGTCCCAATGTGAGGGTTTAGGGTTTAGGGCTTAGGGTTTAGGGTTTAGTGCTTAGGGCTTAGGGTTTAGGGCTTAGGGTGATGAAACCCTGCAAACTGCTCGAATCCATGGCCTCCTCGTGCCATGGCGTGCAGGCAATCGTGAGCGAAGAGGCCTGAAACACGAAGAGCACAATCAACGCACAATTCCAGCTCATGGAAGGTTCCGAAGGTCCCAATGAGATGGTTTAGGGTTTAGGGTTTAGGGAACATGCAACACAAACAACACGCAAACACAACACAGCAACACACAGCCACACACACACACACACACACCGCGAACACACAACACGTACAACACCCACAACACTCACAACACACAAAAAAAAAACTCACAAAACTCACCACACACACACACACACAAAAACAAAAAAACACTCACAAAACTCAGCACACACACACACACAGCACGCAGGCACGCAGGCAAGCAGGAACGCAGGCACGCAGGCACGCAGGAACGCAGGCACGCAGGCACGCAGGCAGGCAGGCAGGCAGGCAGGCACGCACGCAGGCAGGCACACACACACACACAACACACGCAACACCCACACACACACACACACACACACACACACACACACACACACACACACACACACACACACACACACACACACACACACACACACACACACACACACACACAACCACACACACACACACACACACACACACACACACACACACACACACACACACACACACACACACACACACACACACACACACACACACACACAGAGAGCATGCAGAACGCAGAACACACACACAGACACGGCACGTCCACCACGACGATGAAGGGCGATGACGATGAAGGGCCGATTTTCAACGCAGGCATCTTCAGGGCTGTTTCAACAATACAAATATCGCCAACCGCAACGCACCGCATACCGAACCGGTAGTATCGCACACACGCCGCGCCGTACCCGACCCCCCCCCCACACCCCCCTCCAAACTCCCGCCCAACCCCCTCCCACCTAACTTCCCACCTGCCCCCCAACTCCCGTCTAACCGCTCCCAACCCCCACCTACCCCCCTCCCCACAACCCCCTCCTACCCCCCCTACCCCCCTCCCCATCCTCCCACCTAACCCCCTCCCCACCACCCCCCTCAACCCTCCCACCAAGCAACACACTCCCGCCTACCCCCCCCACCTACTCACCTACCCTCCCCCACCCCAACCCCCCCACCAACTGACCCCTCCCACCATCCACTCCCACCTAACCCCCTCCCACCTACCAACTCCCACCTAACCCCGTCCCCCCCCCCACCAACTCCCACCTAACCCCCCTCCCACCTAACCCGCCCCTCCTCCCACCAGCTACCCCCCCTCCCACCCACCTACCCCCCTCCCTCCCACTCCCCCCCCTCCCACCAACTCCCACTCCCACCCAGCCCCTCCCACCTACCAACCTACCTGCCCCCTCCCACCTACCAACTCCCACCTACCCCCCCCTCCCAACCAACCAACTCCCACCTATCCCCCTCCCACTAACCCCCCCCTACCTAACCCCTGCTCCCACCCACCTAACCCCACCCCTCCCCAAACCTCCCACCTGCACCCCCACCCCCTTCCCCAACCCCCACGCCCACCTGCCTAGTGGGCCCTTCCCACCCTGCCCCACCACCCGCCCACCCACGTAATGCTCCGGTCCTGTGCGCGGCGTCGCTGGAGAAGCTGCACACCTAAGCAGCCTTTGTGGGAAAGGAAAGGGGAGGGGGGGGGGGGGGGTTGGGAAGGCCTGGGCGGACAGCGGCTGGAGGGCAAGGAAGGGTTTAGGAGGATGGGATCTTGGGTGGGAGGTCGTAGGTGGGAGGTTTTGGGTGGGAGGGAGGGGGGCCAGGTGGGAGTGGGGGGAGGGGCAAAGGTGTGGCGAGGGGAGGGTGTACAAGAGGGGTAGGTCTTAGGTGGGAGGTTTTAGGTGAAAGGTCTTGGGGGGGTCTGGTGGGAGGTCTTAGGTGGGAGTTCGGTGGAAGGTCTTTGGTGGGAGGTGGTGGGAGGTCTTGGTGGGAGGTGGGTGGGAGGTCTTAGGTGGGAGGTCGAGGTCAGGTGGGGGAGGTCTTAGGTGGGAGGTCTTGGGTGGGAAGGTGGGAGGTCTTAAGTGGGGAGGAGGGGGGAGGGGGGGTTAGGTGGGAGTGGGGAGGGCCCTTAGGTGGAGGAAGGGGAGGGCTTGGGTGGGAGGTCGAAGGTGGGACGTCTCGGTGAGAGGTCTTTGGTGGGAGGTCTTAGGTGGGAGGTTTTAGGTGGGGAGGAGGGGGGAGGGGGGGCTAGGTGGGAGTGGGGAGGGCCCTTAGGTGGGAGGAAGGGGAGCTTGGGTGGGAGGTCGAAGGTGGGACGGCTAGGTGGGAGTGGGGAGGGCAGGTGGGAGGAAGGGGAGGGCTTGGGTGGAGGTCGAAGGTGAGGTGGGAGGTCTTAGGTCTTAGGTGGGAGGTTTTAGGTGGGGAGAGGGGGAGAGGGGGGAGGGGGGGCTAGGTGGGAGTGGGGAGGGCAGGTGGGAGGAAGGGGAGGGCTTGGGTGGAGGTCGAAGGTGAGGTGGGAGGTCTTAGGTGGGAGGTCTTAGGTGGGAGGTTTTAGGTGGGGAGAGGGGGGAGGGGGGGCTAGGTGGGAGTGGGGAGGGCCCTTTAGGTGGGAGGAAAGGGCGGGTCTTCGGGCAGGTCTTAGGGGGGAGGAGGGGGGAGGGGGGCTAGGCGGGAGTGGGGAGGGCTTAGGTGGGAGGTCTAAGGTGGGAGGTCTTAGGTGGGAGGGGGGAAGGGGGAAGGTAGGAAAAAGGGGTGGGGGAGGGGCTTGGGTGGGAGGGGCCTGTGGGAGGGGCCGAACCGCAACCAACCGCACACGCCGCAATAAGAGCAATACCACAGCGCATAATACCGCAGAAGTATTGGTATCGACCGAACCGCCCGATGACAACCCTGAATCTTCGAAAGTTCTATACAGAGAGTGTCGGGCACCACGCTGAACTCGTTGAAACGTACTGCAGCATGTGGGTTTAGGGCGTACAGGGTTCAGGGGGGGGACTCAGCCAGATATCAGAACTCCCAGAATCACTGGCCTTGGACTCGCCACAGAAGGTGACCGACTTGATTTCAATAAAGTCCGGTGTTCCCAACCTCAGGCAAGATAATGGGGGGTTGTACCGAACATAGGCAATGCCCTGCATTAAGGGGTTCCTTTTAAAGGATTATACGTGTTTTTGGGGTATATGTGCGGGGTTAGTTGTCCCTATTGTTTTCGGCATGCACATATGCCAGGCTCAGCATCCGACGCCACAAGCTTGGCATAGTTTGCCGCCTCCTCCATGTTGTGGCCCTGCGACGTGTGTGTGTGTGTGCGCGTCAGGAAACGTCGACTCTACAGCCCGTACTGAGATCAGATATCAGCTGCAGCCTTCAGCACCACTCATCACCGCACATGCACGCGAGCGATGCGAATCTGACTCGGTCCCTCCTTGACCAGCGTTAGCCGATAGACGGTGCGCTGCTTCTTGGCCTTCAAGGCCTCCGCAACCATGAGATGATGCTGCCAGGCGTCAGGACGAACTAGCAACCCCTATATAAGCTTCCTCAAGCTATGATAGTTCTACACATTACAGTGTATACTTAGCCTTAGGCATATTATACATATATCACATGGTCAACGGCATAGAGCATGCGTTTACCATATTGAAGGGAGAAGGGGAAAGACCCTATAATTGAAGAGTTTCGGGACCTTACGGAGTCTTCCGAGGCGCAGGCCTTCATCGAGTCCAAGTACCGCTGCCAGAAATCGGAGAAAAGTGGCCTTCCATGGGAGCAGCTGGGTGCTTTAGGGTTGGCCGGGTTTGGGATTAGTGTTTAGGGTTTAGGGTTTCAGGGTTAACCTTAAACCCAGTAAACTCTAGACTCAAAACCCTAAACCCTAAGCCCTGAACCCTCGTGGTGTAGCAGAAAGAGGCACCCACGCGTTTTTGGTCCGAGGCCTGTCCACCGCCTTGAGCGTCTCCTCGGTGCCGGCATCGACACCTTCGCATGTCAGTTTCCCTCTCAAGACTCCAAAGCAGTTCCATTTGGGGTTTAGGGTTTAGGGTTTAGGGCTATGGAGTTGATAGGTTTTTGGGTTTAGGGCTGAGGGTTTAAGGGTGTACAAGGTCTCCAAAGCGCACCACATCGCACACTCGGGCAGCGAAGCAGACACCCTAAATCTCCAACCCTGAACCCTGAGCCCGGTGGAAGGTGTACCATACGTGGAGCCTGAGATTCTTGATTGTAGCTGCTTGTTTTCCCTGTTCTTAGACTCATAACCATAGCATAAGATACCCACCCACCCCCCCCCCAAAAAAAAAAAAAAACAAGAGGGTTCAAGTACGTTCGCGGACTAGGACGAGGAGCCACGATCTCATCAACCAGAATGGGCATTGCAACGAACTTTTACAACCACAACCGCGTCCGCAACTGCAGCCTTTTGCTACCAACTTGCACCAGTGCCAGAACCCTATAACCCTAAACCCGAAACCGTAAACCCTATAACCCTAAACCCTAAACCTCAAACCCTAAACCAGGCCGCGCACTGACGTACAGCTGAGTGATCGGATTCAGGTTCCGAATGGCCTCTGGAAACCTGGAAGCAAGTAGTGCTCTGCTGACCACAAGTACGGTTCTGCTTGCAAGGGGGGTTCCTATTAAAATACGGCGCGTTATAGATTATAGATACAGGTAGAGAGAGAGAGAGAGAGAGAGAGAGAGAGAGAGAGAGAGAGAGAGAGAAAGAGAGAGAAAGAGAAAGAGCGAGAGAGAGAGAGAGAGGGGACCCCAAAAGGGACGTTTGGGGTACCATCACGCAGAGAAGATTCCATAAGGCACTGAAACTCTGCCATTTGAAACCCCTGGTTTGGAGATCCTTGGGCCGGCGCTGGGCATTCGTCACTAGGAAGGTGCTAATCCTCAGTCGGGACATTATAGGGGGACATGCACTTCCCTCACACAAGGGCATTTCCCACAATAGCGCCCCCCTAGCAAACCCCCAAAATACCTATAATATCATCTTGATGATGGGAAGCCCCAAAGAGGGTACCCCTATTTTGGGAAACCCCCCCCCGCCCCCCATATCCAAGAATGGCATGGTGTTGCATTGCTACCGCACATGCACCTGCGACGAATGCAGCGAACGCGCTGCATGGCTCCAAGACCCAAGCTTCCTCTGATGCAGCTCCCCGACAAGCTCGTTGATCTTGGGATACCTGTCGGCTGTGCTGCCTTCTTACCTTCTTAGCAGCATGAAAAGGCTTCTGCTTCGAAGTCAAGTTCACACCTAAACCCCAAAACCTTAACCCGAAACCCTAAACCCGAAACCCGAAATTTAGTTGCGCTGTATGGCTCAGTCTGAGATCTCTTGCGGAGCTTGGCGCACATGATCGGCTCGCCGACGAGTGAGAGAGCGCAATGCCTCTTGACTGGACAGCTGCAACTATTTTGTAATTCTTTTTTTCCTTCTACTACTACTACTACTACTACTACTACTACTACTACTACTACTACTACTACTACTACTACTACTACTACTACTACTACTACTACCACTACCACTACCACTACTACTACTACTACTACTACTACTACTACTACTACTACTACTACTACTACTACTACTACTACTACTACTACTGCTCCTACTCCTACTCCTACTCCTACTCCTACTCCTACTCCTACTACTCCTCATCATTACACTGATCACTACTCTACTATTACTGCGATTATGATTATGTGAATACTATTACTAAGCTTACTATTATTGCCATGATTACACTGATGAGGATTCTACTATGGCAACTATTACGAGATGAGTACATTTTGAAGGCTTCATTCCTCCCTCTAATCGCACCTCACGGTCATCGCTTCTTCGAATCGCTCCTTCTTGACTCCAGGAATGCCTTGGTGCAGCAGGGTTTAGGGCGGGTTTTCCGGCCTGACCCGAGCATGGCATTGGGTCTGAGGATCGAGCCCTTGCACTCCCGGATCATCCTGACGCTCAGCATGCTTTTTGTGGGCAGACGCTGGACTCAGTTGTGACGAGGCCTCCGATGCTGATCGATGCCTTCGGCCACAATCCTCGGGCAAAAAGACAACTTGTAGGTGACTTCATCATGGTGCGGTTGAGGTTTGGGGTTTCGAGTTTAGGCCCCCCATGGCATCTTGGCAGACCCTACAAGCCCTAAACCCCCAAAACCCTGAGCATGCAGCCAAGGCTCTGCTCAGGAGGGTCCATCGACCATTTCCACTCGGTTCCTGGTGGCATCCGCGCGATCAGGGTTTAGAGCTTCGGGTTCAGGGTTTCTCGATCCGGGTTTAGGGTTTAGGGTTTAGGGCTACTCCAGCCCCACCGAGGCTGTGGCAGTCATGGCGTGGCAGTCGCGTTTAAGCTTCGAGGCTCGGGCCCACAGGATTCTTGTGGTGACGCCAGCAGAAGACGCACTTGTTGGCACCTCGGGGTCTTAAGAAGTGCTGACAAGGGCCTGTTAGTTGCTGAGTTCATAAGCCCCCCCAAAAGTGTACACTTTCAGTGCTATAGGGGACTATAGACTATAGGATCCCAAGAGTGTAAAGTGTACTCCTTCAGCCACTAAGCGTAGGACGAGCACAAAGTACACCCAAGGTAGGTAGGTCAACACGAGCACATCGCGCAGTTCAACCAAGCAACGTGATGTAGCAAAGGAAATGCCAAGGAGGAACCCCTGAAATGGCTCGCTCGATACCCAACCAGGATGGCCCCTAAAGCCCTCCGACAAATCTTCCTGAAGAGAAACCTCTTAAACCCAAGACTAGAAAATATCCCGAAGGCCGTCTCCGGGTTTAGGGCTGCCAATATCGGAAATTCGCGTATGGAGCGGCAATGCTTGCCTCTAACCTACATAATACTACCCCCCACAATTCCCTCATTCCCTACTGGGAACCAGCCAGCTCAACGGGTCTCGATTAAATCGTCCTTCCTATGATTGCTACCGGTCAAAACGGGCCCATAATTGACTAGGTTGGCCACAACCCTAAACCCTAAACCCTAAACCCTAAACCCTAAACCCTAAACCCTAAACCCTAAACCCTAAACCGTGCGAACAGTGCTCCCAAACAAGAGCTTCAGCACATTTAGGGGCAACAAGATGCATCCCCAGGGCCTCAACCCTAAACCCTGAACCCTAAACCCTAAATCCTAAACCCTGAACCCTGAACCCTAAACCCTAGCCCTAAACCCTGAACCCTAAACCCTAAACCCTAAGCCCTTGGGAATGGAGAGACCGAAACCTGAAATCCCACCCTTTTTTTGGGGCTAAGGCATGCCAAGGAGGGCGTGGCCTCCATGCCTTGGTTCTTGGCCACAACATCAGAGGGTTTAGGGTTTAGGGTTTAGGGTTTAGGGTTTAGGGTTTAGGGTTTACGGTTTGGCTTCTTAGGGGGCTTGGGGGTTTGTAGGGGGTTTAGGTATTCTAGGGGGATTCGGGCTTCTTAGGGGGTTTAGGGGTTTGTAGGGGGATTTAGGTATTTTAGGGGGTTTAGGGCTGCTTAGATGGTTTGGGGTTTGTAGGGGGTCTAGGGTTTGTAGGGGTTTAGGGTTTTAGGGGGGTTTAGGGTTTGTAGGAGGTTCAGGGATGTTAGGGGGTTTAGGGTTTTTTGGGGTTTAGGGTATACAGGGGGTTCAGGGATTTTAGGGGTTTAGGATTTTTATGGGGCTTCATGGCTTTTAGGGGGTTTGGGGTTTTCAGGGGGGCTTGGGGTTTATAGGGGGCTTAGGATATTTAGGGGGTCTAGGGGGAAGGGGGTCTAGGGGGATTAGGCTTTTATTTTTAGGTTTTAGCGGGTTTATAGGGTGTATATAGCAACTTTCGGCTTTTTAGGGTTAAGGGGTTTGGGGCCGTTTCGGGGGAGGGGGCTATAGAGCATTTGTGGCGCTTGTAGGCTCTCAGTGTTTGTAGGGAAAGCAGGCCGTAAACCCTAAAGCCTAAACCTTAAATCCTAAACCCTAAACCCTTTAAATAAGGGACCCTATACCCTAACTCTGAACCCTGAACTGCCTTTTGGTAACCATACCCTAAGCCGTTAACCAAACCCCAAGCCCCAAGCCCCAAGCCCCAAACCCCAAACCCCAAACCCCAAACCCCAAACCCCAAACCCTAAACCCTAAACCCTAAACCCTACACCCTAAACCCTAAACCCCCTTGTGTCGAAGGGTGTCGGGCCACGCGCTTCTCGCGGTTTCCGGCTCCAGCCCGGACAGCTGAGAGCGCCGCACTGGTAGGAAGTGATGCCGTAGAAGGAGTGCTTATAGCATCCTCCCCGGCCTCTTGCCACTGGGTGTTGGGTTTAGGGTTTAGGGTTTTATTCTTACTCACGCTCTCACCTGCACAATTAAGCTAAAGACACACGAAGCGCACTGCAAAGCTTCGTTTTGCAACGGGGGAGCATCTCAGGTCAGGCCATTGCCCTGGCTTAGGGTATGGCACACGGAGAACACATGCAAGATCATTTGAGCGACACAAGATCGACAGCTGCGAACTGTGCGATGTTCAGGGCGGGACAAAAGTAGGGTGGGCAAGAACAATCGAAAGTGCAGCAAGCTGGCGACGCTTTAGTAGCCAAGCACGCTAAGTCTATGGGACGCCCACCCACCGCCTCAGCCGACGCTGCAAAACATGACGGTGAAGAAAACAATTACATGGCGCAGACGCAGGCAAGCAGGACGGTTGCTTTCAACACCACGTCACAACACGGCTACCTTGCCCTTGAGGAGCGGAGCTAGAATAAAGCGTTATCAACAAGTAGACTACAGCTAGGGGTTTGGGGTTTAGGGTTTAGGGTACATGCTACACTCCTCTAGAACCTTTGCTAAACGATGTGTCTAAGAGTCGTTTGGGCTTCTTTATGATCAAAAATAGAAAGATATGGCCGCAACGGGACTTTCTCCCATGAGGAAGGAATCCGAGTCCTGGGTGTCTAAAGCAGAAGTGGCCTCAAGGTACCTGGGGTTCTAACCCTAAACCCTAAACCCAAAACCCTATAAACGAATCCCAAACCCCAAACCCAAAACCCTATAAACCCCAAACCCCAAACCCAAAACCCTAACAGGCTGTGCACCTCGCCTCTGAGCTGATGCTTCGTCCAGCGGCAGAGCTTCACGGCTGAATGCGAGCCAACAATCTTGTAGCCTGCCCAGATGTACATGATGATGTAGGGTTTAGGGTTTAGGGCTTAGGGCTTAGGGCTCAGGGCTTAGGGTTTAGGGTTTAGGGTTTAGGGTTAGGGTTTAGGGTTTAGGGTTTAGGGTTTGGGGTTTGGGGTTTAGGGTTTAGGGTTTAGGGTTTAATGTCAACCTGCTAAAAAAACCGGTATTAAAGAATTCCGATCCCGGAACTCAACTATAACCCCCCCTCAATAATAAGATTCTGAAGCGATTGCCCGGGCCTTGAACTAGAGCCTGGAGCCCTGAAACCAACCCCGAAGCAGCAGAGAATCCGCTTGAAGCAGAGAGCCTTTTCCAAAAAGGGAGAGCTTCGCCCAGCCTCCGCCCCCCCCCCCCCCCCCCCAATAGGCGGGGCGGCCGGAAACAAAATCAATTGAGACAGGGGCGGGGGGTGATTAAAAGGCGGTCAACATTAGGGTTTAAGGTTTAGGGTTAGGGTACATGGTGATGGATAACTATGCGCGAAGAACTCTAGACCCTAAATATCCCTCTACCCACTTTCGACTTTCGGAGAACTGAAGAACAGTCAGGTCGTTCAGTACCAAGGACAACACAATGGGGGTTTACGAACATAGGGGACTCCTAAGATAGACCCCCACATAGTAGGATTCGCTAAACCCTAAACCCTAAAGCCCAAACCCTAAACCCCCCACATCAGGAGGAGGCCTTCCTTGGTGAGCTGCGCCCGGTGCTTCGTAGTTAGCATCTGGCGATCCTGCAAGGCCGAGACCTAAACCCTAGACCCTAGACCCAAACCCATTAGATCTCAGCATCCCCATGATCAACTAGACCCAAGGGTGACACAGGATTTAGGGTTTGGGGTTTAGGGAAGACTAGACCCAAGAGGAACCCAGGAATAAAAAGGGGACCCTCTTTTGAGTTTAAAGGGGCTTTTAAGGGAACCTGAACCCTAAAGAAAGGGAACAAGCACCTATATAGGGTGTAAATAGCCCATCCCGAAGGGTTCACTTCGTCAAAAAACAGGGTACCCCCTGTGTATATCCCGAGTCCCGAGGACAAAAAAGCCCCTTTTCTATCTAGGGGTTCTACCTTGGACCCTTAAGCTTGTACCCTTGGGTTTTGGGCCCCTTTTTAAGGATCCTTAAGGGAATATGAGGGCCATATTAGGAGTATATTAGGGGGAACCTTTAGGGGTACAACCTCAAGGGTACGAGTCTGAATCCCTTGATTCTAAGGGTCCCGCAACATGGGGACTCTTGGGAAACCTGCATGGGGTGGTTGTCAAAATTGTTGTTCCTTTTTGGATCCCTATTATCATGCGGCACCAAAAAACTTAGGGTACCCCAAATTAAAAGGGACCATAATTTTGACAACCACCCGCATGTAGTTCAAACTGTGCGCGGTTTGGGTTTAGGGTTGGTTGAGCTCGGAGGGCGGAGCTTGGAATGGATGGTTCGGGAACTTGGTTGAGGTGGGGGAGGCTTGAGAACCCTATACCCTACCTTAAGAGCCCAAAGCCAACTTTTTTGTAGGTTGCCCAAGAATCCCATTCCATTTTCAAAGTTGCGGGGGTTCTGAAGGCAAACGCTTCAATTCAAACCTTCCAGCCCTAAACTCGTCCCTACACCCTAAGACCCCGAACCCTGCGAAGGGGGGGAAAGGGGTGGGATTAACCCTAAACCGTAAACCCTAAACCCAAAGGAGGGGTAAAGTTGACGCCTGCGGCTTCTTCGCCGTCTCCCCTGCGCAGCCCTCGGCAAGCTCCTCCACGTCCGACCTCGAGCTGCTCCGAGAGCTTTTGGGTTAGGTCCCCGAAACCCCTGAACCCCGGAACCCCTGCACCCCCGAACTATATGTACCCTAAACCCCAGCGACCCGGGATTTAGGGTTGTGGTCGGCTATTTTTGTTGGGGTCTGCAGTGTTTGGGGGCAAACACCCTGAGTCAAGGTGCAGAAGAACACCTCTTACATGAACGAAGCATGTCTGAGGAATCCTTATGGACACGTGGAGAGTTTGTTCTCAAAATATGTACAGCTAGTACTCCCAAGATCCATAGTTTCGAGTGGCTTGTGACTTGAGTTTGCGTGTTTGCGCTTGCCTATTCACAGAAGCACTATTGACAGTGTTTTCGGGTTGAGGGCCAAATGGGCAGAGGTTTCCTGGCTGCAAACTCTGAAACTTGATTTGAGTGTTGCGAGTCCGCTTCCCACCTCAGAAGATGCTCTTGGCAGAACAGTTCGATCTACTCTAAGCCCAAAAGCCCTGAACCTTCAACCCTCAAAGCCTGAACCCTACGTACTCTTATATAAACGTATTAACATGCATGCTATGTACAGTCTGCCTTTACTTGTGCTCGTTGGCCGTTCATCTACATACAGATATACACACTTACATACATATATACACACACCTACATGACTACATACATACATACATACATACATACATACTTACATACATACATACATATGTACATACATACATATGTACATATGTATATATATATATATATATATATGGCGATCGAGAACTTCTTCTCAGCTTGCGGCGTGGAGCCCTTGGCAGGCGCGGCTTCGCCTGCATCAATGCAAGGCGTGGAGCGCCGGGTCTGGATTCGATAGTATCCTGCTATGTTAGTACAAGATGCTAAAGTAGATATTACAACCTTTTGTGATAACTAAATTATATATATATATATATATACGTATGTTGACATACATAGAAAATTACATAATTATAAATCACTGTCGATAGTGCTGTATCTAGCGCAGTAGTATGCCCGGTGGCTTCGCAAGCAAAGGAGGAACAGTGGCAAGTCAATTTTCCGTTGCATCCGCCGTGAGTCCGCAATCCAGCGTCCAGCCCAGTGATGCAGCCTCATCAGCCTCAGGTGCAGGATTTAGAGTTTATCATGTAGGACGTCACTCCACTGCTTGGCCCTGAAGCGCCTTCAACACATTCAATGCACTAAACCCTAAACCCTAAACCCTAAACCTGTGTTCTGTTGCAGCGTCCATGGCTCTTCGGGGGCTTGAATGGGCTTGAGCTGTGCTGCTTCGAATTGGAGAGCGCTACAGTAGAGTATCCTCTTTAGTCACGCCGGTAGATATCCAGAGAACCGATTCAAACATAACATGCTACGTAGAACATACTAGAATACATGTAAGTCTACTGTTATTTTCGCCATCTCTCTCTCTATATATATATATATATTATCATATAATATACGATCAGTGACTTTCATGTGGGCGCTGCTATGCTGCAGCCGAGCTGCGCTGGCTTCCTCCGAGGCGGACTCCGGAGCGGCCTTGGAGGTCTCGGAGGGCGGAGGCTTCGATTCCGGAGCTTCCGGTGCGTTGCTTGGCCTCGGTTTAGGGTTTAGGTTTAGGGTTTAGGGTTTAGGGTTTAGGGATAAGGGCCCCCTCTTTTGGGTTGGTTACTTGATAATACAGGGTACCCTTTTTGGGTTAAATAAGGGCGCCCTTTATTGGGGTTGGCCATTTTTTAACTTTACAAGAGAACCTTGAACCAAAAAATAGTGAAAAGAGTACCACTGGGCTACCAAGTGGCTCCAGCTCCTTGCCGATGGACTTGCTGGCGCGGCCCCGAAAAACAAGCCGCAGAGTCTTGATGATGTGCTGCCACTTGCGCCGGCCCTGGCATTTGCCAACTGAACGCGCTCGCGCCTGGCAGAAATCGAAGCACTTGCGCTGCAAGAGATCTTCGTTCGGCAGCGGATGTCTTGGCAGTAGGAGCGACACGCCTCCCGGACACTCAATGGCGCGCAACTCAGGTCCGTGCCGCGCCACGAACTCTTCAAAGCTGCCAAGCGAAGTAGCCCAGCGCTTCTTCCACTTCAAGGCCCGAGCCTGCTCCTGCATCTCGACAGGAAAGTCGGCCTCCTCAAAGCATCCAAGAACACACTTCACTGCGGCTTCCTCGGCTGCACGGTCCAGGCTGACCTCCTGAATCTGTCGCTTTCGCTTCGGGCGCTTGGGCTGAAGAGCCTCAAGGGCCTCGCCCTGGAGATTGCAGAAGGTTGCCATGTGCTCAAGCTCGCTCGCCTCCTCGTCGTCGCCAGCCTCACGCATGCTCCGCAAGGTCTGCGACAGGAGGCGCGTCAGGTCCACAGCGGGTTCATCCGGCTCCTGACGGGTTGGCACCCCTCCGTCTTCTGCCGTTTCTGCCGTTTCTGCCGCTTCGGCCAAGCCCTGCCGCCCTGCATTTGCCCGCGCGGCCAGCGGAGCTTGCAAGCTCCCAGGTTTCAGCCCTGCTCCAGAGTACCCCATGCTGCGCAAGATGGAGAACCCAAGTCCATACTTTGCGGAGAGCTCTTCGTGCGACAGCGGCTCGAGCTCGTCGCTGCGATTCGAGCGCCCGCACTGCGCGTCACCGGCCGAGGGGCCGGGAACGCCGGGCTCGTCGTCTTTCAGGCTCGCCGGAGTGAAAGGGACAGATCTCAATGCCTGCTGCCCAAACCTCTCAGGCCGCCCTGCCTGGGCTTTCTGCCTGCGCTTCATCTTGCTGGGTCGGCGAACTGTGATGTCCCGTAAAGCCCTAAACCCTAAACCCTAAACATGTGATCCTCTTTCCCGAAGCGTCTAGAAGCGAGGGGCCATGCTGGGGAAAGCTACGAAGGCTCTCGGGTTTAGGGTTTAGGGTTTAGGGTTTAGGGTTTAGGGCTACTACTCTCACGAAAATGCCGATGACAGCGCTGTGCAGAGCATGTGATCACCCATGCTCCTTAGAACCATAGCGCTGGATACAACATCTTGCTTCTTATTCCTTTCATTTATATGAAGACATGTATCAACTATAATTCCTACGGGACACTAGAGTCGTACTGTCGAAAACGAGCTTGAAGCCAAACGGTCACCGGGGCCTTGGCGCTCAACTCGGTGCAGGGGCTCTTAAGGTAGGGTTTAGGTTTAGGGTTTAGGGTTTAGGGTTTAGGGTTTAGGGTTTAGGGTTTAGGGTTTAGGGTTTAGGGTTTAGGGTTTAGGGTTTAGGGCCCATAAACCCATAAGCCGCAAGCCCATAAGCCCTCTAAATTGGGATGTTCCCCCTTAGACTAACAGTCCTTAATGGGGATTCTACTGTGGATTATCATAGGGGGCTCTAGTCTAGGGGGGTGCATCCCAACCCATAAACCCCAAAACCCACAAAGCGCCCCTGAAACACTAAAGCCCTTCACGCTGAACGCGACGCCTATGGAAAAAATCAAGACCCAAGAGAAGCCTCGTAATAAAAAGGGTTTAGGGTTTAGGGTTTTAGGGTTTTAGGGTTTTAGGGTTTTAGGGTTTTAGGGTTTTAGGGTTTTAGGGTTTTAGGTCATTTAAGGGGCTTACAAGGGGGCCTAAACCCTTGCAAAAGGTAATTAACGCCAACTCTGGCTCCCAGCTACTACTAATCCGGGTTTAGGGTTTAGGGTTTAGGGTTTAGGGATTACCCCTCAACCCTAAACCAAAAAAGAACACCCCCTCCCCCCCCCCCCCGCTCCCCAACAGAAATAAAGGGAATCAGGGCCTGTTTTGGGTCTAGTTTTTGGATCCTCTAGGTAAGAGTAACTTGGGATATTCCCGCTTGTACGAACCGTCCTTCACAGGGATGATGGCAGCCCCCTATTAGAGCCCCTTTTAGAGGACTGTTAGTATGAGGGGGAACATCCCAAAGAGTAACCCTAAACCCTAAACCCTAAACCCTAAACCCGAAACCCGAAACCCGAAACCCTAAACCCTAATCCCTAAACCCTAAACCCCAAACCTCAAACCCCAAACCCTAAACCCTACCCGTAACATGCGAAGTGCGGGTGCCTGAGCTGACAGTGGTGCTGCTGTCATCCTCGGAGTCTGAGCCTTCATCTTCGCCTCGCAGCTGTGAAGGACTTGGGGCCCTAAACCCTGAACCCTGAACCCTGACCCCTAAACCCTAAACCCTAACCCTATAACCCTAAACCCCAAACCCTAAGCCCTAAACCCTAAGCCCTAAACCCATGAGGCCATGGAGCCGAGACTTCAAGAACCACTTCGAGATTCAGGGGAACTGAAAAGTGGGGTTCGACGTACCTTAAATGAGGTGACAGAAAAAACTCCATACATATATGCATACACATATATATATATATATACATAGATATGTTCTACGTAATCTACATATCTATATTATGTATATATACATGTATATGGTAGCTGCTCCCAAAATGACCAACCCTAAACCCGAAGCACTGTGCCACCCAGGCCTTCCGGGTTTGCCGTCGGTGACACGGCCGCCTGAGGAGGCGGCACAGTCCAGCAGAGACAGCTGCTTAGCCATAGAATCCTCAACCCTAAACCCTAAACCCTAAACCCAAAAACCTAAACCCTAAACCCTAAGCCCCTAAACCCTAAGAACGCCCAAGCCCATTTCTTGGTAGGTTATACCTATAATAGAGCCACATCCCTAAACCACAGAGCCTTCTTACGTAACCTGAAGAAGATCGAATCGGCTTTCAGGTTCTTAAGGCCCTCGGCCCAGCCCTGAAAAACTCCAAGCCTGCTATTGGGGTTCTAGGCTTTAGGAAACTCTAGGGATTGTTATGTTTCGTGTTTTTGGGGATCTCAAGCAAATAGTAAACAACAGTAACATGAACCCTGCCTCACGTGAACAAGACACATAGGAAGGTGCACCCTAAACCCTAAACCCTAAACCCTAAACCCTAAACCTAAACGGGTGCGGAGTGCAGGGCTTCGATGACTTGAGGGCTTCTGGTTTACGGTCAGGGTTGACGGCTTCTCTTCCCAGGATGGGCTGCTCGGCCTTAGAACCCTCACAATGAACCCTGCAAGGGGTGTAGGATTTCGGGTTTAGGATTTAGGGTTTAGGGTTTAGGGTGGGTTATGAGGTATAACAGCCCACCTGGTCTACCATTTGCTTAAGAACCATCCCTAAAAAAAAGATAGCAATCCCTATCCTCCCCTTTTGAGGAAGAACTTCTTCATTCTTCTTCATATTGTTTTTGGGGGGGGGTCTTATGCAAATAGTATCTAGTCAACAAGGCTTCAGGGTGTAGACCCAAGAGTGGCCTAGGCCATAAAACGGGTGCCTCTTTCGGTACCGAGACCCTTTAATTGAGGGGGAAGAAGGGCCTACTCTGGAACCCTAAACCCTAAACCCTAAACCCTAAACCCTAAAGCCTAAACCCTAAACCCTAAAGCCTAAACCCTAAACCCTGCATGTCGCTGCCTCCGCAGCAGCTCGACCTTCGATCCCCCGGGCCTGCGCTCAAAGGCGCAGAGCTCCGGCGTCTCTGTGGCGTTTCAGGGTTTAGGGATTAGGGTTTAGGGTTTAGGGCTAGGGTTTAGGGTTTAGGGTTTAGGCTTCAGGGTTTAGGAAGACCGAAAGCCGTAAATCCTGGAGCTTTACAGCTTCGGCGATCCAAGGCTGATTATGGTAGCTTGAGCCTGGGAACCCACTTCTCGGTTGGGAATTGGTTGGGTTTAGGGTATAGGGTATAGGGTATAGGGTATAGGGTATAGGGTTTCGGGTTTAGGGTTTGGGGTTTATAGGGTTTAGGGTTTGGGGTTTGGGGTTTGGGGTTCAGGGTTTAGGGTTTAGGGTTTAGGGTTCACTGATTTCCACAGGAGACGGATGTGCATGCACTTGAGGGTTGAGAACAACAATGTGCAGCAAGCAGGAAGCTTGCCGACGGCTCTTCGGCCCACGAGTCACCTACGAATATCAAGGGTGCCCTTTTTTGGTTTAAAGAGGCAGAGGAGGGAACCTAAACCCTAAACCCTAAACCCTAAACCCTAAACCCTAAACCCTAAACCCTAAACCCTAAACCCTAAACCCTAAACCCTAAACACTACTCTGGGCCCCAGGTTCTTATGCTTGCTATTCACGGCCGTGGAACTTGTGAACGCCCGAGGGTTGCATTACCTTTTTGCTACCTGCACCTGTACTTGTCGTTCTTTCCTTGGGGTACCTAGTATCCTCATTACATACAACCATGACTACCCAAAGGCAGCTATGTAGCACCTTCTTGGGGTAGTATGCTATAGAATCCCCTATAGCTTACAACAAACCCCAAAAAGGAACTACATTGGAGCCTTGGGGTAGGCCTTCTAGGGCAACCAACAACTACAGTACAACCACAGGTGTACGGCCTACAAGCGCCTGTTTATCAGAACGGGCCGGTGCCATCTGTCCACCTGTCCACCCTAAACCCTATAAACCCTATATAAACCCTAAACCCCTAAACCCTAAACCCGTAAACCCTAAACCCTAAACCCACACAAAATACCCAGGCGGCCCTCAAACCTCTCTGATCCGTTTTCCTACCGCAAGGCCCTTCTCATAGACTCCTGGTTAGGTTTTAGGGTTTAGGGCATTTAGGGCTAGACCCTTAAATCCTTAACCCTGAACCCTAGACCCTAAACCCTAAATCCTAAGCCCGTAAACCCCCAAACCCCACACCGCCGCGCCTGTGGAATATTCAGGCCCTGGAGCGCGGCCTGGCATAGGACTAAGCCGCAATATAAGGTTCTGGTTTCGGGTTTAGTTTCGGGTTTAGGGTTTAGGGATTAGGGTTTAAGGTTTAGAGTTTAATTAGGGTTTTGGGTTTGGGGTCTTGAGTCTGGCTTTTTGGCGTTTGGGGTTGAGGGTTTTTGGTGGGTTTGGGGCTTGTGAGTGCTGAGTTTAGGTTGTTTGGGGTTTGGGGCTTATATAGGCGGTTTCAGAATAGAACCTGGGATATGCCTGGATAATTAGAAAAAGGGTTTTGGCGGGGTGTTATGGTAGAACTGTATACGGACCATACGGGAATACTATGAGTTATTAGTAATGATTCCGACCCCTATAATACTCCGCATTGTAGGAGCCCCAACAGGGGCCCTTGGTTGAAGATCCCCCTCAACCCTCAACCCTGAACCCTGTGAACCCCAAACCCTAAACCTTGTAGGAGCTCCTGCTTTCGTGCAAGCAGGAATTCAAGGGAAGCAACCGAAACTCCAGGTTTCCTCACCAAACACTAAACCCTAAACCCTAAACCCTAAACCCTCTTCAAAGTGGCAAGCCGGGAGTGTAGGAGCTTAGGGCCTAATTCTGCCAGCAGTGCCGAGATTGCTGACTGGAACTCCATCTGCCAGGAGCTTGCCTGTGCTCAAGCATCGACGGCAGGCTTGTGACACTTCAGCAGAGTTCATTTAGTCCTCTGTGTGTGTGTGTGTGTATGTGTTACGGTTTGGGGGCAGAAGCAGAATAAGCGGCAGATGCTTCCTGCCGCTGTACTTCGGCTCACGCAGACACCCTCATGACTCTCAGGAGACCCCTGCGGCGACTTCCCCTTCTGGCCTGGCTCGCGAGCTCCTTGGTGTCCGTGACCTGCTGGAGACTGGGGGCCGGCTTGAATTTCAGGGGTTTTGCTGTTCCGTTTTGCGAGGCTTGAATTTGGGGTAAGACTCTGGACTACGGTCGCTAGGATTTACAACCCAAAAGGGGCAAAACAACTCATACCTAAAAAGCCCAAACCCCCCAAAGGCCCAAACCATTCTGGAATTTAAGGGTAGGTGGGGGTGGGGTCGGGCCGCCCCATTCCGCATAATGTAGGGGTCGGAATAAGTACTATAACAATATTCGCTTATGGTCCCTTTGTAAATATATACTATAATACCCCCCCAAACAAAAAAAACTAAATAGTAATAACATTCTAAATACTGAGGCCCCTACAGCTTAGTAGCCCAGTAACCATATTATTATATTGTGATAGGGGCACCCTTTTTGGGTTTAGGGAAGACAGTATTTCGGAGGCCGGATCAGGACGAACGCTTTTCAGCCCGGTCGGTTCGGGGGCTGGGGCGAATGCGGCCTCTGCCATCTCTGACTTAACGCCCTAAACCCTAAACCCTAAACCGAAAAGCCCTAAACCCTCAACCCCTAAACCCTGAACCGAAAAACCCTAAACCCTGAACCCTAAACCCTAAACCCTAAACCCTAAACCCTGCACCGAAAAACCCTAAACCAAAAAACCCTAAACCCTCTTTCCTGCTGTGAGATCGGGAGACAGGCCCAAGTTGAAAAATGTGCACCTGCGATATACTCGGAAAGCAACTGTAGGACTGACTGGGCCCATATGTTTACGGTTCAGGGTTTTGGGTTTAGGGTTTCAGGTTCATGTGGTCGCCAAGGATATGCATGCATCGGGTGTCGCCCAGACATAAAGACAATGCATATTCAATGCAAGTATCATGAAACATCGAGCGACCCTAAACCCTGAACCCTAAAACCAAAAACCCTAAAACCTAGTGGACCGGCGCACCCGCAGTAGCCGTGCCGCACGCTGCGCACCCAAAGCTGCAAGCGCCGCGTCGGCGCGCACCTCGGGGGAGACACGGTGTTGAGAAAAGAGTCAGGGCTTAGGGTTTAGGGTTTGGGGTTTAGGGTTGAGGGTTTCGGGTTTCGGGTTTGTCAGGGCCGAAGTGGTGGCAAAGGTCAAGACAGGCTAAAACTGCCCAGAAGCAGAAATGAGGGCTCAGAGCTTGCGCCATGTGTTTCTGTTGAGGCCTTCACTCAAGAAAGGGCCCCTGATCAGTGGTCAGATCTCAATCCGTGGGCACATCCCGCGGGTGAATGCTAGTGACTGCCAAGAGAGCCCAAAGTTTCACACCCGGAATCCCCGGAATAGGCCCTAGAAGGAGCGCAGCAGGTAGGGCCAGCGCTGCTGCGGTGCAAAAGTGGCCCGCATCCGCCTCGATTCCCCGTGGGCCAACTCTGAATGCTTCAGGTGGGGCACGTCTCAACAAAGCAGCTGGCATACACGGTGCTGCCGAAGCCCAGCACGGCCTCAGCTGAAGTGCATCTGATGCTCAGGGTTTAGGGTTTTGGGTTTAGGGTTCATAAACACAAGCTCCCGCGACTACCGCTGAATGGACTACAGTAGTGTGATCTCTTCACCAAGCCCGGAGCAAAGTGCAAATGGCGCATCGCCGATCGTCCTACGCGGAAATCATGGACGTGGTCGGCCAGGAGAGTACCTTGCACAAGAATCAACACTGAAACTCTTGGAAGTTAGACGCCTAAACCTACCCTGCCCACCTTTATTTCCAACCTCAAAGGCTCCTATGTAGTACCTTTTTGGGGTAGTATACCAGAATCCCCTATAACTAGCCCAAAAAGGAACTACATTGGAGCCTTTGGGTATAAAGACGACGGAAGGCAAGGACGCGGCCGAAGTGAGCGCTATTGGGCGGCAGTAGCCCATCCGTGTAGGTGGACCTTGCTTTCCAGCATCAGGGCTAAGATTTCATACTAATTGCCCTAAACCCTAAACCCTAAACCCCCAACCCTCAACCCCAAACCCTAAACCCTCAACCCTGTATGCCTACACAGGCCACCTCTCCTCCTATTGGTTCTTAGTAGGGCATGAAGGGAATGAGGCACCCTATAGAATCTCTGAACAAAAGTTATGCATGCATATATCTATATATAGATGAGGGATAGAAGGTGCACAATTCCCGCAATCCCTACCTAAGAACCCGTACGTCCTTGGCACCACACAGTAGCAACGCCACAAGGTCGGTGACCTGAAGTGTGATCGCAACAGATGAACTTGCTCAAGGTGCTTCGTGGACAGGTCTGAGGCTGCGACCCCATCTGTGCCTGGGATAGGCGATTCAAAGTCACTACTGGCAAAGCGACCGCAGCTCTTAGACTACACAGCTCCTCTCACGCAGACTCCAGCTCATCAAGTCTCCCGAAACCCTAAACCCTAAACCCTAAACCCAAAACCCAAAACCCAAAGCTGCAGGCACTGAGGCACGTGCGGGAAAGCAATGCGTCGAACGAGAAAGTCGCCAGGTCCTCGACGATGATCTGCAGCTCCGCCTGCCACGAAGTTACCCTTAGGCTCAGCTGCCCTTCAGACCAGCATGGGCTGTTAGGCCTTCTCATCCCCTAACCAACCCGAGAAAAAGGGCCTTTTTTAAGGGGTTATAGGGTCGAATAGCCCATGTAGAACTGTTGAGTGCAATGCAGCCGCAACTTCCTAGGTGTTCTACTTTGTATGGACAGGTGAAATATGTGGGTAGTGAAAACACCTTTAAAAAGTGTTTTAGAAAGCGTACATAAAACAAAAAAATGAATTTATCGAAAGTGTTTTTTCGTTTTTTTTAGCGAGATCCAAGCTCACACCCCACGCCAAGCGTGAGCGGCGTTGACTCGACATGGTGACAGTTGCAAGCTGATCAGAGCGGGGCAACATCTTCACAGGAGTTGGCTCCTATACCCCTAAACCCTAAACCCTAAACCCTAAACCCTAAACCCTAAACTTAAACCCCAAGCAGCGGGCTGACACATTGAAACCGCCTCGGGAAACGAGGAATCGGGCAGGGCGCTGCGGATGGACTCCTCCAGCCCGGCAGCCTTGATATTCGCTTCAGGGCTTTGCAAAGATGGGGATTGGGTTGAGGGTTTAGGGTTTAGGGTTTAGGGTTTAGGGCTTCGGGTTTAAGAGTTTAAGAGTTTAAGAGTTTCAGCTGGGGGTGGGGGTTTAGGGTTTATGGGGCTTGTGGGGGTTTGCAGAGTTTGCTGGGCTAAAAGGTTTACGGGGTTTGTGGGATTGACGGGCTTTATAGGGCTTGCCGTTTATCGGCTATGCCCTGAGAATCTGGCCGTTGCCTTGGATGTTCCCGACATCGAGGCGTACCTGTCATGGATCTTGCAAATGCCGACCCCAGACCTCTTCTTCCCAGCAGCCATGGGACGCTATCTCACACGTGTAGACCCTTTCTAACCCCCAGCCTCCGCTGGTCGCCACAATCCAACATTTACGGAATCAAAGCTCCAGAAACATGTGCCTCTGAATTCCGGACATCCCCAATGCAAAAAGTCACATCGTTCAAACTACCGCCCCCCCCCCCCCCCCCCTGCCCCGCAAACCTTTTCAGAGCCAAGGCTTCGGGCCCCAAAAGCCCCACAACCCATGAACCCCCAAACCCCCTAAACTTCACCACCTCCGCCCCCTCAGAAACCCTAAACCCTAAACCCTAAACCCTAAACCCTAAGCCCTAAACCTTAAACCCTAAACCCTAAACCCTAAACCCTAAACCCTAAACCTGCTGGGGGCCGGGCAGGATCCGCACCCTTACCAGGCGTCTCGCTGCGGAGCCCCGCGAGGTAACCGCCCTCTGCCGGGCCCAAGCAGCCAGGCCAAGGCCTGCTTTGGGGCTTATAGGGTTTTTAGGGTTTTAGGGTTTTTTGGTGCTTTTTGGGGTTTTTGGGTTTTTTTAGGGTTTTTTTGGGGGTTTTTAGGGTTTTTAGGGTTTTTAGGGTTTTTAGGGTTTTTAGGGTTTCGGGTTTTTTTGCCTTTATGGTTTGCAGCTTATAGTAAATAAAGGGATGGGGATTAGCAATGTGCATGGGCACCAGCCATCCCACTGTTGCTGGGAAGACTTGGAGGTTGATAGGCACATCTAACCCCAGTATAGCCGTAGTCATAGAGATATATGCCCCCAAACGGGGTTAGAAGGTTGACAAGAAAGTGCGTCATACGTTGCCATTGAGGTATACTGGCCAGTACCCATGAACCTGCAAGAAGGACGCAAGTTGAACAGAGTATCTAAGCTGCTTTGAGAAGACGGCTTTCGATGGAATTCTTGCTCTTGCGCAGCTCCTCTTACTACCACGCCGACACTTCGATGAGAGACATGTGCTCAACTTGTGCTCAGCTCTGTAAAAGTTGTGGTCCCTTTCCTGGCTCCCCTCAATGTCGGAGACGCCGTGTTCAGAACACTCTTTGCGGACATGGACAATTCTGAAAATACGGGTCCCCTTTTCAGTACTCTGAATACAAGGCTGAGTGGTATAACGAATGCCAGAGGTCCCCAGAGGATGACTCAAACTTCCGGAGTCTGCACCAAGGAGCTGCACTTCAGGGCTTTATAAGGTTGAGGGTTCAGGGTTTAGCCAGCGGCCAGACGGTTTTTTTGCAATTTTGCAGGAGGACACGATTCCTGTGCTTGTGATGTTCTCCCCACTGCAAGTTTTGACCTGGTGCCTTGCTCTCTAAAGCCCTGTAGTTAGAAGGCTTTCATAACCTAAATGCCTTCTAATTGGCATCTACAGCTCTGATTCTCCCAAGGCAGCCCCTACTTGGCGCTGGTCAAAACTGCAGAACATCACCACGCGAGTCGCTCTCTGGCTTGCCGACACCAAGCACGACCGGCCCGAGAGGCCTGTCCCTTTGTACAGATTGCACAGATTGTAGCACAGGGGCCTAGGTAATTAGAACGGGTATCATCTTGGGTCGTTTGAAGAAAGTGGATGATATTTGTGTAGAATATATATATATATGTATATTATATATATATATATCATTATAATTATGTGTATACAAAAAAAGTGACTTTAAAAGATTGCATTTTGCTATCGGTTAGACCCCTACGTATTACAACGCAATTCTGGGAGGCAATCGGGGGAGCAAGCAGCCTGAAACGGATGAACCAGGCCGATGCTGAAAAACTCGCTGGCTCAGAATTTTAAGGCCGGCGTTCCTGTACCACATCCAAGTAGCGGCCCCCCAGAGTAAGCAGTGCAGCTATCAGGGACTACTTTTGGGACATAGTAATATATATGCAAGATCACTTAGGTTCTCTATCCCTTGACTTCCTTAGCTGCATAGTGTTGTCGTATGCTGATAAGGGGCCCCTACCTAGCGCAAAGCCACAAATTAGAGGGAGCTCAGGTGTCTTGCGGCACGGGATCATTAGACGTGGATCTCAATCGCTCTGCCACGCGGGCGAAACTCATAGTGAACGATCTTCTTGGCATCGTACAGAGGCACGAAGATGTCTGCGAAACCATTGCCGTCCACATCACCGATAGACGGTCGACCGATATCTGCACCAAAGTCCTGCACCTGTTCTAGCATGTAGGTCCAATTCGCTGGATCTTTCGATTTAGGGGTCAAAAGGAAGATGCTGTTGGAGTTGTCTCCAGACACGAAGATGTGCGGCTTGCCGGTGAGGTTGGTTTGGGGCTGGAAAGCCATGGCATCCCCCGGGGAGGCCTTGCCCTTGTCTATCTTGGCAGGTGTGAAGCCTGTTGCCAGGACATGTCGAGACACCCCCGCGGTGACAATGTCCTCACTACTGAAGGAATAGGCAAAGACAGAGCCATTCTCCGCCGCATGGTTTGTTACCAGCAAGTCTAGGTGCCCGTCTGCATTCAGATCGACCCAGGAGCAGGAAAAGCCAGGGCCAATAGTGTCGTCGAGCAGGCGACTCCGCATGGAGCCGTCCTCCTGCATGTACCAGTAGACCACGCGGCCGCTAACAAACTCGGGGGCAACCAGGGAAAGCCGTGAGCTGTTCGGATGCACGCAGAAGAGGAAGTCTGGGCCGGGGCCAAGCTCACGCTCTTCCCAGGGCCTGGAAAGGGTGAGATTTGAGGGTCCTGAGAAAGATTGAAGTTCTCCGGGGGCTCTATATTTTTCGGTAGGAATATTTTCGGATGTCGGGCCGATAGGACTTTTAAAAAGACGCTTCCATGACTCAACCCCCAGCGGCTGCCCGTTCAATGCATCCTTGGCCGGCTGCTTCAGCCAGACCAGCTCCCCTTGCTTCTTGTCCCAGGGCCAGACGCCATACTCGCACCGGGCGGTGAGCACGTCCTGCCTTCCATCTCCTTGGTAGCCCAGTAACCATAGTCAGGGTACCCTGTTTGGGGATTATAGCTTTCCTTTAAAGAAGGGAACCTTGAACCCAAAAAGGGGAAAAGGGTACCACCGGGCTACCAGGTCTCCATCCATGTCGACGAAGTGGGCCTGGAGCAGGCCACGGTTGCGGTTTTGCGGGAAGTTGTGCGGGAAATTGTTCTGAGAAGGCATGGTATGGGGGTCGGGGTATTATTACGAATAGTATTCCGTTATGGTCCCTTTATAAAAAAAACTAGAACATAACCCCCTAACCCCCAAAACCCTGTTCTATATATTCAGGCCCCTATAAGGCCCATGTATCACTGGCTGTTGCATCGCAGGGTGTGACCACAAGCACAAGCTCGGGAGCCTGATGGTAGAACCAGCCGGAATCCGGCAGTCGTCCAGACAAGTCTTTTGAAATCTTGACCTTTGCAGAGTACTCATATCTAACGGTCGGCGCATGACAATCTGATACAATCGGTTTCTGTTCTTCCATTTGCAGCTATGGGGCAGGTTCCTTTAATGTTGTCGGCTGCGTCGACGCCTGCAGCTTGCGCGACTTGGGCCCATCTAGTCGGTGTCACACACGAAGCTTCCTGGCCTCTAGGATGTAGACACCACCTTGCCCACACAAAGGCACTTGCACTCGCTGGATCTCGCTGGTGATATTCCTACTGTCTGGCCTGTCGTGTGAGTCGGCACGAGGAAGCCATTCCCAACGGCAACGGCCGTGAAGCCAAAAACGCTCGCATTCAAAGTGGTGATGCCTCAGCTGCACGCCTGCAAGAATGTGTGCTCGAATGCTGCCCAGAAAGTGCCCCGAAAACCGTGAGATCCATGACAGTCGCAGAGTACCGAGACTAACATGCCTCAGCTTTGTTCAAGGTGCTGTTCGGCCAATTTATCTTTCCGCTGCCGGGCAGCTCCTGTGACAGTCGGCGGCTGGGGGCGCATGAAGCTGAACTAAACCTTAAAGCCCTGAACCCTAGGCCCTAGGAAGCCTTAACCTTACAAACCTAAAACCCTAAGAACCCTAAACCCTGCACCCAAACCATCCAAACCCCTTATAATTCCTAAACCCTAAACCCAATAAACCCGAAGCTGTGTGTCCTGAGCAGGCCCTGAATGTGCGCCGACGTCCACGAGGAAGACGCCTCGGCATTGTTTGACGCGTTCTTCCTCGTTGCCGTGTTTAGAACCCTCAAAGGGTGTCGGGAGGCTTAGGGCTTAGGGCCTCTGAAATGAGATGATGGTGTGCGCGTGTCTGCTTTTGTTGCAGGCCGGCGCACCGTTCTTGCCCACGAAGGGTGTGGCTTCGAAACTAGTCACCTTGGACCAACAGGATTTAGAGTTTGTGAATTCGGGTTTAATTGGGGTCTAAGGGTTGGGAAATTGTAGGGGACAGGATTGGGGAGACCCTTTGGGATATAGACCCTCTGAATAAGGTCCCTGTTTAAGAGAGCCAGAAGAGGGTTCAGAAGGGTTCACTTTTAAGGGTCCCCCATATATATACTAAACCCTAAACCCTAAACCCTATACCCTGACCCCCTTATCCTACCTAGGAAATTGGGTTCGCAACCTAGAGCAAGGAATGGCAAGGACTGGCTGCGGCTGGCCTGGGAAGCACAGTGAATTGTAAACCCCTGTGCTGCTATGATCCCCTAAACCCGAAACCCGAAGCCCTAAGCCCTAAACCCTAAACCCTAAACCCTAAACCCTAGCCTTTTAGGGTTCAGGGAGTCCCCAAGTCTTACAGGGTGCCGCACCACAAGCTTGCCCGGCAGGTAGGGCGACAGGGCCTCGGGACGCACCGCACGCTCTGAGGGTTTAGGGTTTAGGGTTTAGGGTTTAGGGTTTGGGGTTTGGGGATTGGGGTTTAGGGTCTAACCCCCCCCCCCCCCCCAAACAAAAAAAAAGGACGCACACACACACACACACACACACACACACACACCCTAAACCCACAACTTCCTAAACCTTAAGCCCTAAACCCCAAATCCCGAAGCCCTGAGCCCTAAACCCTGAAGTTCCTCAACCCTAAACCCTAACCTTGCAGCTGAGGCTCTGTAAACCCCGGAGTGATGGGGATCGAGATGTTCTCCTCTCTCGCAAGGCAGGGCGAGACACCCAAGATAGTTGGTTAGGGTTTGAAGTTTAGAGCTTAGAGCTTAGAGTTTAGGGTTTACTAAGAGTAACCTCTTTGTGGCTTAGAGGGCTTTTGCGGGAACCTAAACTCGCAAAAAAAGTCAGTAAGGGCCTAGCCTGGGTCCTTTGTTACAGGGCATTGCAGGTCTTATCGGGCTTCTGAGGGATTTTCGGGGGGCTTGTAGAGTTTTTGTCGTTCTTTGCGGGCTTGTGGGGTATGGCATGATTGAGGCAGAGCGCCCTAAACCCTAAACCCTAAACCCTAAACCCCAATAGGCTTCGAAGCACCTTGAGATCCATTTCAAACTCGCGGGCAATGAAATCGCCGGCGGCGCACCCGGCCAACAAAAGTGCCAGAGGCCTCCCCGGAGCTGGGGTTTAGGGTTTAGGGTTTAGGGTTTAGGGTTTAGGACGGGAACTGAAAGTCGCGAGGTGGGTTGCAGGGCTTAGGGATTTTCGGGAGTTTAGAGTTTATATAGGGTTTATGGGTTATTTAGGTTCGTAGGGTTTACAGGGTTTATAGGGTTTATAGGGGAGGGTTTTAACAAGGGTTTACGGCGTTTACGGTTTAGGTGTCATCCATGTTGTTTTGCTGACGTGTCCCTGGCCTCCATCTCAGCATCGCGCTTGACATGGTGTCCGCCCATGCGCAAACTCTTGAACACTCTCGAGCCAACTCTTCCGGTCTCATGGATTTGGGTCATCGGCGTCGTGGATTGTGGGAGCCCTCTGCTATGGCCCCTCAGAAAGGTTGAACTTAAAATCCTGAGCCAACCTAAACCCTGGTGCCCGTGAAACTGAAAGCCTAGCTGAGCCTTCACTGCCCCCACGAAGCAGCTTGCAGCCTAAAGGCGTGCCGTTTTGGGTAGCTTACTCGAATCCTTGAAGGAAAGAAGAATGACGGACCCCAAAAGGAGCTACATTGGAGCCTTCAGGTAAACCTAAACCCCAAACGCTAGACCCGTAAACCCTCTTTGAGAGGAGGCCCTTCCTCTCCTGGACCATAATCTCAAGACAGTCATACTCGGACACCTAAGGAACCCTAAACCCTAAACCCTAAACCCTAAACCCTAAGATCCTTGGGTGCCCCTAAGAGGTGCCCTTCATGTACTCGTCATATGGGCCGTAGATTCCTTTAGAGTATCTTGAAAAAGGGTCCCCAAAACCCAGGGGTACAACCTTAAGCGTCCAAGGCACAACCTTAGTCCCTAAACCCTAAACCCTAAACCCTAAACTCTAAACCCTAAACCCTAAACCCTAAACCCTAAACCCTAGAGGAGGTGCCTCATAGACCCCGAACCGAAGCCCCCAAAGTCCCCCTACTAAGGTCCAACTGGGGTATTCCCCCCCTAAACTATCAGGGTTTAGGGTTTAGGGCTAGGCGCACAGCTCGAAACTCGAGACCCCGAGGCCCCACCTGGAACTATGTGTACCATGAACCCCCAAACTTTCGAGTCAAGCAGCCCTGATACTTGCCCTAAACCCTAAACCCAAAACCCTATATATCCTGAACGCCCAAACCCGAAACCCTTAAACTCCCCCCAAAACTCCCCCTGCCTGCAAGCCCCAGAGCGGTGAGGCTGGCGGCAGAAGTCACCCTGAGAGCCATCGGTTGAGGATGTAGGGTTCAGGGTTTAGGGTTTAGGGTTTAGGGTTCAGGGTTTAGGGTTTAGGCTTTAGGGTTTAGGGTTTAGAGTTTAGGATCCAGGATTGTCGCGGTCGTGCCCGAGAGCGCAGCCCACTCGACGACGGCCACGGCATCCTGTGCTGTAGGATTTTGGCTTCCGAAGCTACCCCTGAGAGACCCTAAACCCTAAATCCTACACCTTAGGCCCCAATACCATCAACCCTACACCCTTGGCCTGAAAACTAAACCCCTTTACAACGCGTGCGGGGGCGGAAAAAGTCTGAAAAAAAAGCGTGCGGCAGCCATAACCACATGGCGGCGATTATGATAGTAGCTGTAAAAATATTCACATTGTTAGTAGGTTTCTTGTGAAGTATCATGAGAAAGTCATTCTCGTCAGTACATAAGACTACTAGTCTCTTTTTTTACTATGAAAATTCTTGCTATTCAAAATTTAGTAGGTAGCGATCGTCGCAGTAGTGATAGTGGCAATGCTTGTGCTGTCGCCTAAACCCTAAACCCTAAACCCTAAACCCTAAACCCTAAACCGTGTGCTTCTTTCTTCTACCAGCCTACCTGAACTGCTGCCTTGATTTTGCTTGCAAGTCTTCCCGCAGCAGGGGACCCCGGTGTACACCCCAAAAACAACGGGAGCCCTCAAAAAGGGTCGCCCTGTCTTGGGGGAACCTCCTTTTTGTGCGTCTAGACTGTAAACCCGGAACCCCCAGCCCCAAACCCCAAACCCTAAACAAACCTTAAAGCCCAACCCCCAAACCCTAAAACCCCAAACCCTAAACCCCAAACCCTAAACCCCAAACCCTAAACCCCAAACCCTGAAACGGAGCTAAACCCTAAACCCTAAATCCTAAACCCTAAACCCTCAAACCAAACTTGTTGGAAGCTGCGAATGTGAACCCTGGCCTGCCACTGGGAATCAAGGCCGCGGCCGAAGCTAACCAAGATGGGGTTTGCGACGATGACCCGTTTTGGGGCTTAGGGTTTAGGGTTTAGGGTTTTCGTGAGCTGACCTTGATCCGATCTGCTGCTGATTTCTTTGCATAAGTTCGAGCTCACATTCCCCAAGCGCGTGGGGCATCGTGTCTGCGCACGGGAGTCACATGATCCCTGGCATGGTGCGGCGTATTGCTGCAATGAAGTTTGGCTTCCCTACTCGATGCATGCCGATGCTAGCTTACACCACAATTCCGAGACTCCTGTCTATGTAAAAGCTCAATGCATCAGAGAGTGAGCCAAAGGGTGTCCGGCGGAATCAGTGGCACCCTAAACCCTAAACCCTAAACCCTAAACCCTGAACCCGAAACCCTAAACTTTTAGGGTCCTCCGGCAGGTCCCTCCACTTTGCTGCTGCCTGGGGTGTCTGACGTCTGTGTAGGTCCGGTGTCTCCCTCCCCGGCCTTTGGCCACGTTGCACTGAAGAGTAGAGTCTGCCGCCTTGTAGGGCAGTCCTGGCGAGCAACCCTCATTTCATGCCTGAGGGCTTTGCATCTTTGCATCGAATCGCCACCCTAAACCCTAAACCCTAAACGCTAAGCCTTGGGATGTTCCCCCTTTTTCTAACAGCCCCTAATAGGGACGATAGAACCCCCTATTTGGGGTTGTTATCCCAAGCTAAACCCCCTTCATGACGACCAGCCTCCACAATTCGTCTAATTTGTGGCTCGAAGCCCATGTCCAGCATTCTGTCAGCCTGGACGTCTCTCGGAGTACTCATGCGTTTTCCAAGGTTTGGTGGCTTGAGGACAGCTAGTTGTGCAAGGTATTTGTACATATATATATGTATATATATATACATATACATATTGATGAATCTGTTTATACATTTTTCGAACTATTTTATGTAATGTACCTAGCTGTTTCCGAATGTCGCATGCTACCCAAGCTCCCTACACCCTAAACCCCAAAACCCCAAACCCCCTGAGCCCTATACGCCACCGACTCCGCAAGAAACGAATGACTTAGCCCGAAGAACCGCTAAAAAGCAAGCTGGGCGGATGCAGCGTACCTAGTTCCCTGATTCCTTTCCTAAGGTCAAAATACGAAACCCTAAGCCCCTAAACTCTAAACCCAAAAACCCTAAACCCTGAAATCCTAAAACCCTAAAACGCTAAAACTCTAAAACGCTGAAACCCTGACGTCCTAAACCCTGAAACCCTGAAACCCTGAAACCCCAAACCCGAACCCCGAAAACCCGAAACCCTGCAACCCTGAAACCCTAAACCCCTAAGCCTCAAAACCCTACTTCCTCAACCCTAAACCCTAAACCCTGAACCCTGACCCCTAAACCCTAAACCCTAAACCCCCCTCAACCCTCGGCCCTGTGCGCCTCGTCTAAAGTCAGATACGAGACTTGACCGAGCCAGACTTGCTGCTTCTCTCGGAACTGGGCAGGGCTTGGGGGGTTTGGGGGGGGTTTGGGCGGTTTAGGGGAGTTGGGGGTTGGGGTTTCGGTTTTAGGGTTTAGGGGGTTTGGGGCTTCGCGGGGTTTGGGGGGTTTGGGGGTTTGGGGTTAGGGCTTGAGGGTTGAGGGTTTAGGTTTAGGGTTTGGGGGGTTTGGGGGGTTTAGGTGGGTTTGGGGGTTTGGGGCTTGGGGTTTCGGGTTTAGGGTTTGGGGGTTTGGGGTCTCCTGGGCTGTTCCCAATGTCGCAAGGTAGGAATTGGGGTTTCGGGTTTCCCAAAGTAGGTGTACCCCTTTTGTATCCCAACGAGAACAGAATCCCTGAATTTCGGAAACGCCCTCACATCGGTCTCAAACCAAACCATCCCTTTCCCACCCGAAACCCTAAAACCCTCAACCCCTTCGTCTTGAAACCGCCGCAAAATAATCGGGGCCACAGGACCTTAGGTACGTTTGCTCTTCTACTGGGGTCCGGGTAAAAAGGGTTTTAGGGGCCTAAACCCTGAGCCCTAAACCCTAAACCCTAAATCCTAAACTCGAGTGAAATCGCTCAAGCCACCACCCGGCGCTCACCACAACTGCGGAGGGGGCCTCATTCAAGCGGCCCGGGGTGGCCACGATAATGTGGCAGCCCCGCTTCAGCCACTGGCGGATTAGAGGGGCGGGGGGGGGGGGGGGTTTAGGGTTTAGAGGGTAGAGGGTAGAGGGTTTAGGGTTTAGGGCCGGGTTTAGGGTTGGGGGGGGGGTGGAGGGGCGGGGCCTCTCTTTGAAACAACCATCTAGGGGTTCTGCCTTGGTACCTTTGGGTTTTGGGGTGTAAAGGTCCTCAATGCAGTCTAAGGGCCACATTAGGAGGATTGTATCAAAGGGGAACCTTTAAAGGGTACGAGTCTTCATCCCTGGAACCAGTGCCCGAAATACCGCAAGCGACCCTAAATCCTAAGCCCGAAACTCTAACCCGCAGCATGGCTACCGGCTTTCGAATTTGGGGTTTCGGGCTCAGACCACGCACTGATCTCTCACCTTTACTCCTGGGATACCCTAAACCCCTCAACCCCTAAAACTCCTAAGTCCTAAAGCCCAAAACCCTAAACCCATAAACCCAAACCCCAACCCCCTACAGCAAGCCCCGATAAGCCCTGAGCCCCTACAGGCCCAACAGGAAACTGGCCTCGAGCTGCTCGCCCTTGGACCTGGGTAGCCCAGCAACCATGTGCATGCTAAGGGAACCCTCTTACAGGGTTGGTTATGCTCTTCTTTAAAAGAACCCAGAACCCCATAAACATGGCAACCCTAAACCCTAAACCCTAAACCCTAAACCCTAAACCCTAAACCCGCCACAAAAGGGTAGCCACTCAGCAAAGGGGCTCGCCGCCCGTGCAGTTGCAGCAAAGGATGCCCGAGGAGCGCCCGAAGCGGAGCGCCTCTTGTCAGAGCGAGGCGGAGAGCCGAGCTTGAGAGGGTGTAGGGTTTAGGGTTTAGGGTGTAGGGTTCAGGGTTTAAGGTTAAGCCACAAAATGAGGTGTTCGATCTAGTATTTTCATCCCTTGGCCAAAGTAGTTCATGTGGTTGCACGCTTGGGGTCTTCATTTCCTGGGCGTGGGGTTGCTAGACGCTAGCTCAGCTATTCTCCGCCCAGGTCTCCTGGCGCGAGTCGCACAAAATGCCCCAAAGAATTCTCGCAGACTCTCCCCCCCGGGTTTAGGAGAGGATGTCGGGTTTCGGGTTCGGGGTCATAAGCCCTATAGGCATGTAGATGCCTAAAACCGCTGCGAGGAATCCCGTCGAGAACCGTGGAGACCCAAACTGAAGAGAATCGGCGGAGAATCCCGGAAATGATCCCGCAGAGCATCCCTTTACGATCCTTACTTCTCCAAGAATCGAGGAAAAATCAGGTGAAGCTTTACAAGTCCCAGAAAAAATCAATAGCAGGGTTTGCCCTTACACTGGCCTCTGAGGTGCTGGGCCGTATGTCTTACACTCTTTTTCTTCAGTGGGTTTGGGTTGTTTTTAACATGTCTGATTTATCTTTCTTCTAGGGCTTAGGGCTCAGAGGTCAGGGCCTTGAACCCGTCCTGCTGGTTTACGGTTTAGGGGTTAGGGTTGAGGTGAGGGTGCCTTACAAACCCCGAGAACGTATTTTGCAGGTTGTCCCTCTTATTAATCCCTTAGACGACTCTGAGGCAACCTACCCAAAAATGGAGGCTTCGGGTTCCTAGGCTCAATCACCGTAAGTCAATAGACATGCGAGTTACAGTCCACTTAGATCCAGACCATGGGCGACTTCGTCTTGAAACAAGCCTGCAGTTCCATACTTAAGCCCCTCAAGGAGGGCCCTTACCCTCAACCCTAGCCCCTCCCACTCTAAACCCTAAACCCTAAACCCTAAACCCTAAACCCTAAACCCTAAACCCTAAACCCTAAACCCTAAACCACCCCCATACGCCGTACGCATACTGCCTCTAATTGGATCTGTCGCGCCAGCTCCCGGGTTGGCGCCAGCACCAGCGCCTGCGTGGGGGGTGGGGGCTTAGGGTTTCGGGTTTAGGGCGAGGGTTTAGGGAGAGGAGGTAGGGGTTTTGCAGGTTTAGGGTTCGCCTGCAGACCTCTAACCCCTAACCCTAAACCCTAAACCCTAAACCCTAAACCCTACTCAGCTACCACTTCCTGAGAGCGCTCGAGGATTCCTTCCGTCTGCATCGACCAAGCCTCGGACACTCGGCCCAAGAGTACCACAAGGTTTAGGGTTTCGGGTTTAGGGTTCAGGGAGACCAGGCCCACGAGGAACCTAGGAATAAACAGGGTGGCCTCTTTGGCTTAAAGGGAGATAGAAGGGAACCGAAGCCCTCCCCAAACCCTAAACCCCAAAACAAACGCAGGAAAAAACAATGGCCTGCTCTTGTAGCCCACGGAAATTCAAATTGGAACTACGAATGTGCAAGTTCAGGGAGCTCCCCTTGAACCACAAGTTTCCCTTCCCTTTTAAGGTTTAGGGTTTGGGGTTTGGGGTTTGGGGTTTGGGATTTGGGATTTGGGGTTTGGGGTTTCGGATACGACACTGCGCAATGGAATGTCGGCAGGCTGTACATCAGTTGTCAATCCGACGGCTCTTCGTCCGACGGCAGAACATCGATCAAAGTCGACTTGAAATCTGAATGGAACTTGGCCCTTGGGTCAGAGCAGCCTTGTGAGCACAGGTTAAAAGCCTCAGCTCGTGAGATGCTCCTCGGGTCTTGTAGTAGCATCACTCGCATCTGCTGGGGGCATAAGCCTAGGTTACTCTTGGGCCTAGTCTCCCTAAACCCTATAAAAACCCTAAACCCTAAAACGTAAACCCTAAACCCTAAACCCTGAACTCTGAACCCTAAACTCAAGCGCTCTTGCACCCGGAGATGTGCCATGCAATAACACAGGCTCCCGCATCTGCGACCGCCCAGCGCGGGCCAAAGAAGCGCACAAGCAGGGTGTTTAGGGTTTAGGGTTTAGGGTTTAGGGACACTAGCTGGGAAGAGGCCGCTCAGCATCTTTGTGTCTGAATGTCCCCCTCCATCTTCCTCTTGTCCTGTGGAGCAGAGCTTGCAATGACCTAGCATCCCCTAGCACCACCTTAAGGGGGCTTAGGGTTTAGGGTTTAGGGCTCCTGGTCGTCCGTCGGGTGGCTGTCGATTTGGCTGGCCACCCTCCTTCAACGTACACGAGATCGCCCACAAGTTCAATAGAAACCTAGGAAGTTCGGGTAAACCCTAATTAAACTGCTTCCTTGTTGGGGTCATGTTAAAAACTATCATATTTTTCCCAAGAATACAAAAGCATAATATTCTACAGGGACCCAGTAAACCCTGAAACCCTAGAGCCATCGCTGCATGACCTGGCTAGGAACTGGCCTCAGCTCACTCGAGGTCCTCGAAGCACTCGCGGACCTGCAATATCTTGTGCTGAGACTGGATATTTAGAGGGGGGGAGCAACTTTGTAGTGGGTGCTGAGTCTCTACGTGAAGGTTCCTACGACAAGTGACAGAGTTCATGGCAAGAGTGGGTCGAGAAGGCTGCTGATCGCTGTGGAAATTTCTGAAGATGTGATGAGTCGAGCTCATACGTGCGCCCGCTTGAGAAGTGCAGAAGGGAGATACTTGAAGAGGGTTGTGTCCTTTAACCCCCTAAACCTCGGAACCCCTAAACCCGTAAACCCCTCAATCCCCAAACCCCTAAGCCCCTGAACCCCTGAACCCTCAAGCACCTAAACCCCTAAACCCCTAAGCCCCTGAACCCCTAAACCCTCAAGCACCTAAACCCCTAAACCCCTAAACCCCTAAACCCCTAAACCCCTAAACCCCTAAACCCCTAAACCCCTAAACCCCTAAACCCCTAAACCCCTAAACCCCTAAACCCCTAAACCCCTAAACCCCTAAGTCCTAAACCCCAAAACCTGAACAACCCTTTGCTTCGGAAAGAGCGCAAAGGGCACAAAGCGAATGGCCTGGCGCTGACATCGGTCTTCGTACTGCTCGCTGGGCACTGGGAGCCTGCGCCGCAGGGCCGTTGGGTTTAGGACCCGAAACACCCTAGACCCTAAACCCTACTCACCCTAGACCCTACTCACCCTAAACCCTAAACCGTAAACCCTAAACCCTAAACCCAAAGTGCTCTTCGAGCCTTGACCTCGACCGGCCCACGGAACTGTGCCGCTGGGATCGGCCTCATGCTTCGTGCTCATGGAAGCTCGACGATGTCTCTTCACACTAGGGTTTAGGGTTTAGGGCCTTTTAGGGTTTAGGCTTAGGTGTCCGCGTGTCTGCTCAGAAGTACCATGCATGCAGCATCTGCAGCACGAAGTTCGGAAAAGATCACTCTCTCGCGTGCCAGTTGAGCTACAGAAGTTGCACACGGACCTCCCAAAAGAAAACTGGACCCACAGGAGGGATTGCCAGGAGGGGTACTTACCAAGAAACTACCAGAAACAAAGCTAAACCCTAGCAATCATACTGTTAGTTGCACTACAAGTTGCCATGAAACCCCCGAACTGATTCCCTAAACCCTGCAACCCTCAGCTCCACTACTCCCCACAAAGGTGATCATCAACTGCCTTTGGCCGAACCTGTGGGACATGCACAGTCCCCAAGCAACTTCGTAGCCCGGTAACCCTAGTAGAACAAGGGTTTAGGGTTTAGGGTAGAATGGCAGTATCCTTTTGGGGCTTGGCTATTGGCTACTTGCATAAGTCAACCTTGAAAAACTCAACCCCAGAAACCCCTACCACCCAAGCTCAAAAAAAGCGTGCCGCTCAGCCAAAGAGTTTGCTGTCGGGAGCAACAATGGCAGCTCTAAACCCCCAAACCCTAACCGCCCCAAACCCCCACAAAACGGGCAAAAGGGCGCTATTCAGCTGCCACCTTCCCTATAAAGCCCTCTAAGCTCAACAAGCCCTTTAAGCCCTACAAACCCGACAAGCCTTACAACCGCTACAAGCCCTACAAGCCCTAAACCCGAAACCCTCATCACCCTAAATCCTAAACCCTAAATCCTAAACCCTAAACCCTAAACCCTAAATCCTAAACCCTAAATCCTAAACCCTAAACCCTAAACCCTTGAAGCAAAGTTCCAAGCTGGAGCGGCCGGGTCAGGGAAGCCACGGAGTCGCAGAAGATCCGGAAGGCCTCGGTCACAAAGGGCTTGCCAGGGTTTAGGGTTTAGGGTTTAGGGTTCAGGGTTCAGGGTTTAGGGTTTAGGGTTTAGGGTTTAGGGTTTAGGGTTTAGGGTGCGGGAATTTGGATTTGGGGTCTATACAGGGTTATGAGGAAAGGCCCCTGGCTTCGGGATGGATAGCAGAACAAAATGAAACATGTAAGACACTAACTTCCATACAGACAGGTCACATACATAACCTATATAACAAATGTAGCGTATATGACATATGTAGCATGTATGAAGCATGTAACATGTCTAACACATAGAACATATATGACACGTACGACACATAAAACAGATGTAACATATGTCACATATCTAACGTGCATAGTATAACACATAAAACATATACATGTATACCATATACACACATCTATGTGTTCATGTCTATGCGATCATGAGCGCATTGTGTCAGCCTGCGTGCTCGCTTGCTTGCATCTGTTTTGCTTGTGTTTTTGTTTGTTCGCTTTTTTTGCTTGCTTGGTTCTTCGCTTGCTTGCTCTTGTGTGTGCGTGTGTGTGCGTGTGCGTGTGCGTGTGCGTGTGCGTGTGCGTGTGCGTGTGCGTGTGCGTGTGCGTGTGCGTGTGCGTGTGCGTGTGCGTGTGGGTGTGGGTGTGGGTGTGGGTGTGGGTGTGGGTGTGGGTGGGTGTGTGTGTGTGTGTGTGTGCTTTTTTGTTTTGTTTTTTGATCGTTGCTTCTTGCTACTGCTTGCAGAAGCTCCTGGCACGCGAGCCTTGGCTTCAGGGTCCCAGGCTGGCTCCTGCCATGGATTTCGGCAGGTTCCTTACTTAAATTAGCGTTGAGGGTTGGGGTCATTGGGTCAAAGGTCTTGGGTTTGGGCGCCGGGGTTTTAAGGTTTGGGGTTGAGGGTCTGGGGCTTTTGGGTGGAGGGGGGGGGATCTTGTGGCGCCTCATATTTATGGTACCTTAGAAGGCGCCAGTTTGAGGGCATTTGCTTGTTGTAGGTTACCCCAAAAAATCTTACCAGGGGGCTTCATGATCACGACCGGCCAACAGCAGTGCTTGAATGGTGCTTCAATGGCGCCGGGTCGGAGGTTCATGGGTTTAGGGCTTCGGTCTTTGGGTTTTAGGGTGGTTCTTAGGAGCGAATGAGGGAGGCCGTTATATCCCGCCTACATATACCCTTCAAGGGACTCTGTAGGGTACCTCATTCCCCTCATTCTCTACGAAGAACAAGTAAGAAAATCACAACTTTGATCAGTGTACTAATGGACCTCGTAAGTACGTACCCATGAACCTCCGAGTAGGTTCTTTTATGCCGATGGACAGTAATCCTACGAGTAGGTGAGGCCCTCTTCGACAAGGGCCTGTCAATGACGTCCCTTTCAACATCGTCCAACTGCTGAGAAAGCAAAGCATAGGGTATAGGGTATAGGGTATAGGGTATGGGGTATAGGGTATAGGGTATAGGGTACAGGGTTGACGGTTTAGGGTTTAGGGTTTAGGGTTGGTTGGAGAACTCGCTGAGGCAGCAAAAGAGGCCAAGCAGATGCAGTAGAGATCAGTCCAGTCGAGTCAAGGCCCTGAAGGCTGCAACTGGCAACAGGACCTCCAGAAGACGAAACCCTAAACCCTAAACCCTAAACCCCTTTTTTCCGAAAGGAGCGATCCAGGTTCGCTCGCATCGCTGCCCCGCTCCATGTCAGAGTGTGTGGCAGGAATCGACGCGTTTACACTTTGGCACCGGTTTGGGGTTTAGGCTTTAGAGTTTGAGGTTTAGGGTTTAGGAGGATTAGGGTTTAGGATTAGGGTTTAGGGAAGTCCCGCCAATGGTGCGATTGGCCGGGGACGAAGGCAGGTCTCCGCATCTTTTCGCGGAGGGCCCTGCTGGCTACTAGTCGTGCAGGCCGCTAGGATGGTCCTCAGAACCCTCTGAAAAAAATCCTCCTAATCCCTAAGCCCTAAATACAATCCTCTTAAGCCCTAGAATGGCAAATATCAAACATCCCAAGGACCTACCTAGGCCATTCAGTGCAGGGGCCTCGTTGCGGCCCTGTCTAGACTATGAAGCCACTTCGCGTGGTGCGCGCCACATCTGGATCCATCTTCCTGGCTTTCGAGCTTGTAGGGTTTAGGGTTTAGGGTTTAGGGTTTATGGTTTAGGGTTTAGGGAACCAATCAGGAGCAACCCAGGGCAGGCGCACTTCGAGTTGGAGAGCTGACCTCGATGCAAGCAGCTGGGGAACGGTGGGGCATTGCTGGGGGTAGGGTTTAGGGTTTAGGGTTTAGGGTTTAGGGTTTAGGGTTTAGGGTTTAGGGTTTAGGGTTTAGGGTTTAGGGTTTAGGGTTTAGGGTTTAGGGTTTAGGGTTTAGGGTGTAGGGTTTAGGGTTTAGGGTTGGTTTAGGGTTTTGGCATTGCTGGGGGGAGACTGCAACCTACACTGGTTCCTAGGAAGGGGGATGAGGGAATTCGGTACCTTATATCTCCTGCAAATACCCTTTAAGGGACTAGAAAGGGTATCTCATTCCCCCATGTCCTACTAGGAACCAGGTTCTTACAGATACCCTTTAAGGGGCTATAGAGGGTACCTCCCTCATTCCATCCGCCCGGGCCGAAGGTGTAGAGTGTAGAGTTTGTGAGAACAGGCACCCCCCTCCAGGAGGGGGGTCTGTAACCCCGCTATGTCTTGAGCAGTTGTACCCACGACAACCTGCATCCGACACCCCGCCAAAAAAAAGAGAGGGACCCATGACTAAAAACACACGAGAACACGACAAGCAAATGCTGAACGCTGATGGCAGCGGTCTTTTTGTCGCGATGGCACGGTTGTCTCCGTCCCCTGGCCATGCGCCTAGGAGAAAATGCAGATTTCCGGTCGTTCTCGCCAAAAACCTAGTCTAATTGGTTTTGACTAGGAGAAATTCAGATTCCCGGTCGTTCTCGCCAAAAACCTAGTCTCATTGGTGTTGACTAGGAGAAAATGCAGATTTCGGGTCGTTCTCGCCAAAAACCTAGTCTAATTGGTTTTGACTAGGAGAAAATGCAGATTTCCGGTCGTTCTCGCCAAAAACCTAGTCTAATTGGTTTTGACTAGGAGAAAATGCAGATTTCGGGTCGTTCTCGCCAAAAACCTAGTCTAATTTGTTTTGACTAGGAGAGAATGCAGATTTCCACCCATTTTCGGAACCGAGTCTTATTGGTTTGAAACTAGGAGAAAATGTGTCGCCAAAAACCTAGTCTAATTAGTTTTGACTAGGAGAAAATGCAGATTTCGGGTCATTCTCGCCAAAAACCTAGTCTAATTGCTTTTGACTAGGAGAAAATGCAGATTTCGGGTCGTTCTCGCCAAAAACCTAGTCTAATTAGTTTTGACTAGGAGAAAATGCAGATTTCCGGTCGTTCTCGCCAAAACCTAGTCTAATTGGTGTTGACTAGGAGAAAATGCAGATTCCCGGTCGTTCTCGCCAAAAACCTAGTCTAATGGGTTTGACTAGGAGAAAATGCAGATTTCGGGTCGTTCTCGCCAAAAACCTAGTCTAATTGATTTTGGCTAGGAGAAAATGCAGATTTCCGGTCGTTCTCGCCAAAAACCTAGTCTAATTGGTTTTGACTTGGAGAAAATGCAGATTTCCGGTCGTTCTCGCCAAAAACCTAGTCTAATTGGTTTTTGACTAGGAGAAAATGCAGATTTCCGGTCGTTCTCGCCAAAAACCTAGTCGAATTTGTTTTTTTGGCTAGGAGAAAATGCAGATTTCGGGTCGTTCTCGGAACCGAGTCTAATTGGTTTGAAACTAGGAGAAAATGTGTCGCCAAAAACCTAGTCTAATTAGTTTTGGCTAGGAGAAAATGCAGATTTCGGGTCATTCTCGCCAAAAACCTAGTCTAATTACTAGGAGAAAATGCAGATTTCGGGTCGTTCTCGCCAAAAACCTAGTCTAATTAGTTTTGACTAGGAGAAAATGCAGATTTCCGGTCGTTCTCGCCAAAACCTAGTCTAATTGGTTTTGACTAGGAGAAAATGCAGATTCCCGGTCGTTCTCGCCAAAAACCTAGTCTAATTGGTTTTGACTAGGAGAAAATGCAGATTTCCGGTCGTTCTCGCCAAAAACCTAGTCTAATTGATTTTGACTAGGAGAAAATGCAGATTTCCGGTCGTTCTCGCCAAAAACCTAGTCTAATTGGTTTTGACTAGGAGAAAATGCAGATTTCCGGTCGTTCTCGCCAAAAACCTAGTCTAATTGGTTTTTGACTAGGAGAAAATGCAGATTTCCGGTCGTTCTCGCCAAAAACCTAGTCTAATGGGTTTTGACTAGGAGAAAATGCAGATTTCGGGTCGTTCTCGCCAAAAACCTAGTCTAATGGGTTTTGACTAGGAGAAAATGCAGATTTCCGGTCGTTCTCGCCAAAAACCTAGTCTAATTGCTTTTGACTAGGAGAAAATGCAGATTTCGGGTCGTTCTCGCCAAAGACCTAGTCTAATTGGTTTTGACTAGGAGAAAATGCAGATTTCGGGTCGTTCTCGCCAAAAACCTAGTCTAATTGGTTTTGACTAGGAGAAAATGCAGATTCCCGGTCGTTCTCGCCAAAAACCTAGTCTAATTGGTGTTGACTAGGAGAAAATGCAGATTTCGGGTCGTTCTCGCCAAAAACCTAGTCTAATGGGTTTTGACTAGGAGAAAATGCAGATTTCCGGTCGTTCTCGCCAAAAACCTAGTCTAATGGGTTTTGACTAGGAGAAAATGCAGATTTCGGGTCGTTCTCGCCAAAAACCTAGTCTAATTTGTTTTGACTAGGAGAAAATGCAGATTTCGGTCGTTCTCGCCAAAAACCTAGTCTAATTAGTTTTGACTAGGAGAAAATGCAGATTTCCACTCATTCTCGCCAAAAACCTAGTCTAATTGGTTTTGACTAGGAGAAAATGCAGATTTCCGGTCGTTCTCGCCAAAAACCTAGTCTAATTAGTTTTGACTAGGAGAAAATGCAGATTTCGGGTCGTTCTCGCCAAAAACCTAGTCTAATTAGTTTTGATTGCAGATTTTGACTAGGAGAAAATGCAGATTTCCGGTCGTTCTCGCCAAAAACCTAGTCTAATGGGTTTTGACTAGGAGAAAATGCAGATTTCGGGTCGTTCTCGCCAAAAACCTAGTCTAATTTGTTTTGACTAGGAGAAAATGCAGATTTCCGGTCGTTCTCGCCAAAAACCTAGTCTAATTGCTTTTGACTAGGAGAAAATGCAGATTTCCGGTCGTTCTCGTCAAAAACCTAGTCTAATTGACTAGGAGAAAATGCAGATTTCCGTCGTTCTCGCCAAAAACCTAGTCTAATTGGTTTTGACTAGGAGAAAATGCAGATTTCCGGTCGTTCTCGCCAAAAACCTAGTCTAATTGGTTTTGACTAGGAGAAAATGCAGATTTCCGGTCGTTCTCGCCAAAAACTTAATGGGTTTTGACTAGGAGAAAATGCAGATTTCGGGTCGTGCTCGCAAAAACCTAGTCTAATGGGTTTTGACTAGGAGAAAATGCAGATTTCGGGTCGTTCTCGCCAAAAACCTAGTCTAATTGGTTTTGACTAGGAGAAAATGCAGATTTCGGGTCGTTCTCGCCAAAAACCTAGTCTAATTGGTTTTGACTAGGAGAAAATGCAGATTTCGGGTCGTTCTCGCCAAAAACCTAGTCTAATTGGTTTTGACTAGGGGAAAATGCAGATTTCGGGTCGTTCTCGCCAAAAACCTAGTCTAATGGGTTTTGACTAGGAGGAAATGCAGATTTCCGGTCGTTCTCGCCAAAAACCTAGTCTAA